TCGTAAATTACTGTTGTGTTTAATTGTTTTTGTAATTGTTTTTAATTACTTATATTATCTCGTCTTCCAACTGTGCGCAGAAAACATAATAATGTGATTTAGCATGTCGACTGTACAACAATAGCATATCCACGCGTTCATATCCAATTCACTGGACCCCTTCACTAACCTAGATGTAATTTAAACACAACTAATTATAATAGTAAAACAAGCATGACCGACATTTGGTTTTTTTTTTCAAAAATTAAATACAAGGATGTGTAACAGTAATATAAGAATAATAAAAAATACATCAATAAAAAGTATAATAAAAAACAATGAATATAAATCATAAGTCTCGGTACAATATTGAAATAATATTATTGCATTCACACATCATTCTAATTTAGCTAAATGTGTGCTGCTGAATGTTAAATAAAATCGTTCACTCAGACATGATTTGATTCAAGACAGACTAAACAAGATGTCATGATTAATAGAGCCAAAGACATTCGAAAAATATGTGTAAATTACACCAACTTGTAGCTGATCTATTGAAATCTAAAGATTTCTTATCATAAATATTGTATAAACAATAATTTATTTTTCGCAAAAATATTAACATTATTTTATAATACTCGTTCATGAAATCAGCCCGAGTTACCCATTCGTTTAATAGGGTTAAGTGAAATTAATTCCACATTTCAGGTGTAATTATTTTTAATTTATTATGGTAATGTCGTTGTTGCTTGGACGCGATTCCGAACGGAGTTTTTTTGTATTTTTAATAATAATATTATGTATTTTATCATGTGTGTGTGTGTGTGTGTGATTGGAATGATCCATTAATCCTCACAGGGTGTGGTGGTAGTCGAACCGAGCCTAACTGAAAATCCCGGCCGACGGGTATGTCGCACGAACATTTGGGATGTTTTGTCCGTGACACGCATAATAATGGTTAGTTTTTTAACATTTTTATTTTTTTTTTCTGAAGCAAAATTGTATACACACCGGGTTTATTATATTTTATATATATATATTTTTTTTTATTCATTAATTTCGTTCGTTTGTTCTCGGTAAACGCGGGCGACGGTTCGTGCGTACTTTGGACGCGACCGGACTATAACACCGGGTTTTCGGTAACACAATATTATATAATGAAATACTTACTCTATGTACTTGGCGGCGCACCGTAGTAGTGATATTATATTTTTTAGTGGGCGTCTTAGGCCAGAAATAATAATAATTATTAGTAAGTGCGCGCGGCCACCGAAATCCGGCAGTTAATTTCCATTAGCCGTTCGCCGAATTCGCCCGCGCACTTTCTACACCGCTCTTTGCCTACTTTTACTCGTTTGCCCCCCTCCTCTATCTACCCTCCACTGTTACCACTACAACCTAAGGCGCGGCGGGTATGTGTCGCTTTCACCCCGGAGTCCTTTCGGCCGAATTTCCACAACGGTAACAATAATAACAATTAACTAACAACAAAGGTCTTGTTTCGGACTTGGGCACGTTCGTGTGTGTACTTTTACCCGATCCGTCCGATGTTAAGACACTCGTTATAATTTACTGTATAAACTCGCGTTTAACTGGAGTTAAATGACAATTCTGTTGTATAAACCATGTTTTAAAATATTTGATCTGTTGTTAAAAATGTACTTTATCACGAGTTAAGTTTGACGGTCAATTATCGCTGTGTAAAAATGTATGTATAATTAAATTTTGTTATCTGTGTTTTGCGTTAAAGTGGTGATAATGGAAATGAGGCTTATCAGTTTATCATTGATTACGCCCTGTATGCTAATATTATAAACTCCTACTGCTGATACCATTTTATTTAATAACCAGTGCACTGGTAATAACCTGAATACAAAAACAACGTTTGAGGAACACTCGTAAATTTAACACAATATGTTAATTTAACAATAGATAAAGTTTAACAAAAGTTAGTTTATTACGGTGGTAAATAATTTATCAATAGATAACGACAAGTTTGGCGCAACCGGGCATTAGACATTTGACTTTGTTTTTTATCAAAAGGCAGCGTATGTTTTAAATTTCATAAATATGTTGACAACATACGATATTTTTAAAAATTGTTAGTATTTGAATTTTCACCAATCTCTTCGTTCATCAACATTCGTTCGGGTGTTTACCGAGGTGTTATCACGATATAACCTTCTCTAAAATTTTGATATGTGGCCGCCACCCGGGTGGGACATTTTTTCAGTCCGAATACGCGTTCCATGTTATATAATTAAGTTCAGTGATGATAAAGAATATTGTAGATGGCATTACAATGATGATAAATTTTATTTAATTAATTTTTTTTTTTTTTTTATGCTATATTAAAATACTACGCTCAAAGGTAGGATGCAATTACAGAGTAGTGCGTTTTTTTTTTTTTTTTTGTCAGAGGTGCATTTGAAAGTATAAAAGAATAATAGGGTTACTGCGGAGGCTAAAGGAATTCCGGCCGAGATAATCGTTTTATATTCATTACGGTACACTGCGCACGTCTGTCGTCGACCAAAAAAAAAAAACCCCCCGCTATTTGTATTATTCTACTAGCTCGCCAATACCGGGAAATGCGACTTTCAAACTTCAAACGGATTTTCACAAGCGCGTGTGCTCAGTCGCATGATAAATAATACGCATAACGCTCTACACAATCTCTCGGTTCCCAGTTATCTCGACCTCTTGTGTTGAAATAAAATGAAAAACATGAACAATGGAAAATTATATATACCTACCCACCGGGTCTCGTCCTCTCGTGTGTCTGTTCCAAGTTTGTTTCCGCTCCGGTGCGGCCGGCCCTTTCTATATATAATAATGATAGGCTTTGTGCTCTGTAGATTCTACGGTTTAATCATTTTTCCATCGAGGTAATCCCTTCTCTCCCCAGGGAGGGGTGAAAAACGATGATGATATCCACCGAGCCGGAATCGTGTCGAGCCAGTATTATGAGTATTCCCTCAACTTCGTTTTTCCGGCCGGTTTTCAACACCTTTTTAACATGGACATGTTGTTGGGCTGGATACAAGAATTTTCTTGCTTTTTTCACGTGAAAATATTCTAAAATATTTTTTTAATTTTATGAGATAACAGAAGTGATAAGAGATTATAGATAAGTGATAAGAGATAACATGTCCATGATTCAATGTTTTTTTTTCGTGGAGCGGCGAAAATAACTAGGTTTTTTTTGTTTTTATGAAAAAAAAATTCTTCAAGTTAATGTTACTTGTTTAACGTGGCTTTTTCGATCAAACATGCGTTTTATCTATTATGTAACAACTAACAAGACATTTCTCTGAAACGTCTTTTTTTTAGTCCTGCAAATCAAACTGATGAAATATCTAATGTCGACTTGTTATGTATTTTTATTAAATAAAACCTAAAAAAAAAAAAAAAATAATATCTCTTCGTTGGGTTTCATTGATTGTCTGGAAAAAGAGACTACAATTTGTTCTACGAACACACAGATACTAAGGATATTATCGTTTCTATGTCATTTGGGTTGTTCATTGGTGGTTACGTCACAAATGGGGGGTTCTATAGAATTTATGCACATGGTGCAAGCATTAACGGAAAATCCTAACAGGTTTAATTAAATAACGTTCATTACAAACGAAAACGCATCAATGGAGTTGTAAAATTTTTATTGGGCGGTGAAAAATAATTGTATTTTATGACTAGTACACTCCGGTCGTTTTCCAAATGACCTATTCAGCTGTGGTTCGAAATGTGATCTTAAGCAAATCATTTTCATGCAGCTTTTTGAAAAACCACCGGTATAATAATCTGATATGACGTACATCTCTAGTACACATCAAATAGAAGGTATAACTTTTCTTCGTCTTCATTGTCGAGCCGTTTGATCCGGTGGTGCAATTACTGGTTTCGACGAAATACGGATCCGGGTCCGTCGTATCCGCCTTTACCATCTTCCCGACCGTCGTTTATGATAATACAATAGCGATACTGTACCGGTACACAAGTATAATACTAATATTATAATGTATTTAGATATCTCGGATAAAGAGATCTGACAATTCCCGGACAAGTCCCTTTGGAACACCCGCCGTCTCGACTGAGGAGAGACTATATAAAAAACGCTGGTAAAAAATATAATAGCTATGGCCAGACAGGACTTGGGCTTGCACTCATAATTTTTATCCGAATCCAATTATTTTTTTTTCCGCCGTCGAACGAGACACACTTCAAAGGCGCGATCGGTTGTCGTCGAAGCTTTTCCAACGTGACCGAGTGCGATATTAATTAGAATTTTTAACGATTTACAATAGGAAATAAAGTTTTTAACGTTGTGATTTGCTTCGGGCTATAAGTTTTTTCCCCACAGGAATCATTGCCAGACGATAATGACCACCGGGTTCTCCAAACGCACACTAATGATGCACTCTTCACCCACCACCTCGTGTCCATTAAAATCATCCACTCGATTCTTTTTCGATCCGTCTGTCTCCACTCCGCAGAGATGCTTTTCATTTATATTTTGTTTTTTTCCCAGCCTTTATCTCTTAAAAATCTCAGCATCACGGTGACTTCGTTTGGCCGTTTCGCCATTTTCGAATCATCTGCTAACGACCATCGTTACCGCTCTTTTGTGCAGAACCAAGATATTATTTACTTTGTGACCACACCCCGCCTATACACACATGTTGGAGGATGTAATGTGAGTACAGGTCGGTCCGTATAAGTTGGGCATTTGTCTGACCACGTCCCAAGGTCCGAATCAGACGATTAGTCTCATCTCTTATCTCTTATGTCGAATTGTGGTTTTGCGACACGAAATTGGCGACGCGAAATTTCTTGTAACCAACATAATAACATATCCGTGTTAAAAAAAAGTTTGGTTAGGTTTATAATTTTGTAAAACAACAATATATTGCATTTTTTTAACAGATCAAAAAAGTTGATAAAAAGTGAACTCTGACGGCTTTTGCTCCTTTTATTTGTTATTTGTCGGTTTACTAATCTTTGTTTGTTTTTTTTTTCAGCAATCAAAGGCACTACTGTGTGCCGCGTTCACTGACCGTCATCAGAGTGGGGGGCCATGGCGAGATGTTAAATACGGCATGTCGCGGCAAAGACCCTTTGCGGGACGACAACGGGTCGCCGTCCGCGGCGGCTGCTGTCGACGTAGACAGGTCTCTGTGGCTGCAGGCATGCTGGATCAGGCTGTGGGACCGTTGGGCGTGCGAACAGCGCAACCAGGTGCTGTACCAGGTGTACATGAACCACGCGCTGTCTCGGGAACGGTCTAAGCTGACGTTGGCCGGCGGCCGAATCGTGTCCAGCAGGACGCGCAAGGCCGGCGGCCGCGCGGCTTCGGCGTCCGGCCGACATCATCGCGGCGGCGGAGGAGGCGACGTGGTCGGTGTCTGCGAACTGCCGGCGGCCGTCGCCGTGGACGTGGGCGTCCGCGACTTTCGCAGCGTGGCGTCCGCGGTGGACAGGTTGCGCACGTCCGGCTGGTACTACGAGGGCACCGAGTCGCAGGCCCAGGCTAGCGCCAGGCTGTCGGCCATGCCGGCCGGCTCGTTCTACGTGCGCGACTCCAGGCACTCCGGTCACCTGTTCACGTTGGACGTGCAGACGGCCGACGTGGGCCGGCTGAGCGTGCGGTTCACGTACACGGACGGCGTGTTCGGCTTGGAATCAACGCCCAGGCCATCCGGCGGCCTGCGCGTGCCCAAGTTCCGTTGTCCGCTCGAACTGATCGACTACTACGTGCGGTTGTCCCGGGTCGACGAGTCCCGCCGGCTGCTGCCGTATCCCGCGTGGACCAACCGGCGTCGCGGACACCGCGGCGTCTCGTGGATGAATCTGCAGCGGCCCATGATTAAGACTGACGCCGACGGGTTCCCGTCCCTGATGCATTTGGCCCGTTTAGTGATCAACCGGAACAAGTGCAAGATCACCATCACGCCTACATCACTACCAAACGAACTGGTCGAATACGTGATACAATATCCGCATAGCCTGTGATTCTCTAACGGTTATATTATAATACACATCTATTACAATCTTCTTTCACTCCTCATCACTTTTTATTAATAATAAATATGGTATACTAATAATTGTGTAATATTGCAAAGTTATTAACGGTAGACATTATAGATAATGTTTTACATTCGGCCACATATTAAATAAAACCAGATAGTGCATTACTCCGTAATAAAACAGTAGATTTTCGAATAACGATTTTTCATTGGTTTAAACTCAATGCAGTAGGGCCAAATTTTAGTGCAGAAATTATCGTACACACTATTTACAATAATAACGTAAACTGGTAAGAATCACCGATAACAAGTAGTTGATTAACAAGTTTCCCGGTATTAACTTCGGTTGATTAACGATGGCTTTTGGGGACAACAGAAGAGTTATTTTTTGGTCACACTGACCTGAGATTATTGGAGTTTTTTTTCACATATTTCGATTTTTTTTTTTTAGAGTGCCCTATCAGGTTTTATTTAATCAGTGATTCGACCACATCCGGATAACATCTGTGGACCGTAGATTACCTCTAGATAGTAGATACCTGTTATCTATACCGCGGTAACGTCCCACGATATAGCGTATACTTTATTAAATAACATATTGTTTTTTTCTCCTTTGAGGACTTAAATTTTTATGATAATAGATATTTTGTATTATCTACGCAAAACCAAAAGCTAAAAATACAAAAAAAAAAATTTTACTTAACTTTATATCTTTAGGCAATACCAATAACAACAATTTAGACAATTTAACGTGTGGATTTTTAATATTTAAGTACCTATTGCGCACTCATAATTTTCGACGATTGTTAGTTTTTTTTTTCTCAAAATATAAAATATTACAATATTATTATATAATTAATATTATTATTATTATTATTATTGTATTACGTTAGAAATCATTTTAAGCGTGCACAATTTATTATTCCTATTTATTATTACTTATTATACACGATTTTTTTTTATTGTTCTTATCTTTTACTTGTATTGATGTTTTTTTTTTCTTTCAAATTATAGTTATTATTATTATTGATTAGGCGATAATTAAATACTTACCTGCCTCAAAAAAAAAAATGCGTTTCTTTTTTTTTTTAATTCCAAGTCTTAGAGTTAAAAAAATAATACAATTGAACTGTGCTAAAACTAGTGTTATTTGACAGTGTTAAAGATGAACTCTTGGAAAGAACCTAACCGGGCACACGGCGGTGAAATAAAGTAATTTAAATACTTTAGGAAAAAGGTAAACGGACCGAAGGGTATGAAAATGGGAAAAAAACACAATATGATAAAGTAAAGTAAAAAAAAATTCATATGTAATTTATATTATAGCCGATGGCTAGTCGTTAAAGTAATAAAAAATTCTTATAGTTTATAAGTGTTTTGTGCCAGGAAATAAAAAAAACATTTGCGAATCTTAAATGAAATATTTAAATAAACGTCAGTTCAATAAGCTTCTAAACCGACTGCCATATTATTTAAAGTTGTTCAATGTGGTTTCATATATTTTACACTGACCACATGAGTATAAGTATGGCAAAAAAAACATTCTGTTACTTGGAAACTAATAATAAAGAAGTGTATTGAACTGGCATCTGCTTTACAAAATAGAGCGAGAGGAAAAATACATCCAACCGAATGGTTTTCTGCTAAATATACATTGACTGGTCTATAAATATTTTCAAACCAATTACCGGGTCTTGATTGGAGATAGAGTAGAATAATAAATTACTGCTATTTTTATAGCTGTCAATCAGTTAGTTCGAATTGTATAACACACCAGTCGCCAACATTTGAAAAAGGTTATACTTGTAATTGTTGTAGCCAAATAAATAGTTTAATGAAAATTAAACAATTGACCATAGTGATCAATGATCAAAGCTAAATATTTAGGAGGGTTATAAAATTAATATGAATATTACAAAAACTGCTTCAAGCCTAAATAAAAATTAAATTTGTAAACCGTTAGCTACTTTTACAACCATTTAATAAAATCAATTACTTTTGACTGGTTTTTATACTTCCCATACATAGTAATATGCGTCATACTACATGTTGAATAAATGCTTGGAATTCATTGTTGTTCTATATAATAAACAAAAAAAATATCAGTGTCCTCGATGGACGAGATAGAACGGTGAAATTGTACTTGTGCGTTTTGCCCTCTGACATCTGCAAAATCCAAAGTGACACTAACACTAATCCGTTTCGAATAACAAATCTGCAAACTTATCCGAAATGTCATTTTTTTTTTCTTTTACTTCATGGCAATGTGTGGAATTGTTGAAATAATATCCAACAAAATGATCAATACAAGTAAGTGATATACAAGCCACGACGATTATTGTAATCATTCGACAATGAGATAACACGTATCAAGTTAATGACAACAGCTGATAAGGCAAGTTCATTGAAACGGAGGCGAGTGCAAGTTAAAAACTAGGTACACGTTTTTAATCTGATGATGTCATTTTAAGATTTATTCTTTCTCCAATATGATGTTACACCTGACGTTGAGGGGTTGACCGTGCAGACACAATGTACCGTCGACGTTAAGACGTGAAATATTTAAACTTTGCTGACTTGAAACTTTTCGAATCGTTTGGCAAAATAAACAGGTGCCGTTCACAACAATCGTTTCTCGCAGCGAGTGGCCGAGTCGACGGGATTATAAACACCATAAAACTTTTAGCGGGCGGTCATAAATCTTGTGCACACACACACACACTTTGGGGGAATTCTGACGATTTCCGGGAGACCCGGGATGGCAAAAAATCGACTTAATTTATGGCTTTTCCAAACAGGGACAAGGTGTGTATAGTATATTACATTTTATAATCACGGTCGAGAACAATCCATTACCATCGCGGTTGGCACCGGCACCACGGTTTGCACGTACCTGCAAAATTACATAATATTATATCATACACTATGTCACATAACTCTTGTTGGAAACCCAGCACAGTATATAATGTTATCACGGTGATAATCGGCGAGTGTAGGTTGTATTTGTGCGGAAAAAAACCGCCAAGACCGTTTAAATCCAAGTGTGTCGGTTTGCTGTTTGGAGTTTGTAAAAAGACAGCAGCGTCTAGACAACGATAATTATTGTGCAATCGACTGAGCGCACTCGACAAAAACAGGAATTATTTATTTATTTTCATCTTTTATCCCTTAACTTGCCGATGGAGGTAGGTATCTGTAAAGATCCACAAAATTGAAACACCAGTGAAAATATAAAAGATATACTGTTTTTACTTATGTTTGGAGCTATCATTTATGGTTATTGTCAACAGTTATTAGATTTTTTTCCATTTCACCGTCATACCGTGTCTTTGAAATGGCCTCGGTAAATTATGAACAGTTATACGTCTTAGGCTCGGTAAGCCGTCCCTGATTGAAATACATATTATATGCATGGTGATTTACAACACTACCCGACGCTGACACAGTGCATCGTCTATAAATCATCGCAGTACAATATTCATGTTTGCATTATTATAACATCCGCAAAATTTATAACTTTATCGTTTGTATAACGTTAGTGTAAGAGGTGTTTACAGCCAACGGCGATTGATCCGCAATAAGTTCCAAGACAATGACGGCGAGTCTCGAGTACACTCAAGCAACACTCATTATCCATGAATAAATATAGTATACAAAAGCGTACAAAAACAACTAGAACAACCGGCGAGACAGCGAGCAAATTAAACTGCGTTGCCCGTTTCCTCCCAGCCATCATGAGAGTTTTTGCAAGATGATTTACAAGCAGTTCACCGTTTTTGTAATATTTGTTTGCTTTTAATTTGTATGTCTGGACTAGAGATAATTTCCGACAACCGCGATGTCGATCAACAGATTTTACCGGTTTACCGGATAGATCATCAATACGGTTTCTCTGAAAAAAATATTACATGTCAATGTTACACTGGCCAGTGATTTAATTAACTAATGAATTTACACACGTTACTTGTGATTAAATCCGTGGAATTAAAAACAAAATGTAGATTTTTGTAAAATATGTTCTTGACTTGCTATCTATGAGAACATATTGCTAATTATTAAGCTACAAACCATAAAACTTTTCAAGTTTTCAAAGAAATTGGTTTTTAATAATCATTTTAAACATGTTAACATGGATATGTTACTGAGCTGCATAAAAAGAATTTTCATTCCGCCATTTTCGCGTTACACTTTCACATTCAATTAGAGATAAGAGATAGGAGATACGTGATAAGTGATAAGAGCTATGATATTAACTATTTAAGTTTCAAAGGACAAGTGATAATAAATAAGAGATGACATGTCCATGACTCAATGTTTTTCCTTGGAGCTGAGAAAATATTAACTAGGTTTTAAATTTTAAATTGTCCACGAGTCTTATAAGAAAATTTAAAACGAAATATTATTTCTCATGAATAAATGCTGTCAACGATTATGTCCTATTATTGTTTTTGATTATTGAACATTGCAGTTTTTTATTTTTTTTGTTTATTGAAGATATTTACATTTCTAATTTGTTCGAATGTACATAATACGTTCGACAAGTGAATAGCGAGGAGTATTCCAAAACTGTGGTAATTTTCGTTGTAAAATAAAAAAGGACGGACATAGCTATAATAAACCATATCAACAACAGCGGTCAAGAAGCTTGTGTCTATAAATAAAGTAGTATTTACGATTTGTAGGCTGCTAGCTGCAGCGACGAAACAATAAGCCAGGTTTTTTATAATTCCCAGAAACTGGGTCTAGAACGTTGGCCGTTTTATAATGAAAAAATTGATATTCCATGAACTCATTTTTTGTGATTTATTGTTTGGACAATCGCACGTGTATTATTGGTGTTACCGCCAATATATATACATGTTGACTTCTTGTTAAGCCGTACTTAAATCCGTACCTACTCTAACAATTGTCTTACACAGCACATCATTCAGCGCTGTTCAGAGATTGACTGAGGCTTAGCCAATGATAAACATTGCCATTGAAATCTAGTTGAATGTGTTAGATAGAACGAGTTTCGCAGGCTCTTGAAATTAACTCAATTGGCCACTTGGGTTAAGAAAGCAAAAAAAAAAAAGATAAAAATTCAGATAAAAAGCAAAACACTTAGGAGTCGGTAGTTTCGTGTCTAGAGATTCTTGATCAATAATTACATTAGGAATTCAACACGGGTTGTTGGGAAAGTACAGATCTTTTAAAACTCTTGTAGGCTTGCCAAAACGCCAGCAGCAAACACAAAATTCTATGGACTATTGTAGGGTTTTAAAGTGTCTGAACGCCCTAGGCCAGCCCTCTGATTGTGAAAATAGTTTTGGCCATTCCTTAAAGGCGTAACAGGGTAACATCAAAATCGAGACTTTCAATGGTACATGCTTATTTTGTGAAAGTATTTTGAGTTGGACTGACGTGGCCAATTGATCATTTTGAATTTGAACTAACGCATCTAAAGAACATCCCACACAACTATGTAATTTGAATATTTCAAATATAGCGTATATAATCTTAGCCTGTTTGTTACCCTATCTTTACAACGACGATGATAATAATTGATTTAGAAGTCTGCTCGGCTTCCGGTTGTGGCGAGGGCCATGCTAATGTAATGATAATAATAATGTAATCCCAACGGTAACAAAACCCGACTATCAAAAAATGAACACTCGGTTTTGGTGAAGTAATCATAATGTTTTATCTTCTGTACGACATCAACCTTACGGTTGTAGTTTGGGATAAGACAATAGTGACAGGCAGATATTAGGGACTTGACTAAATATTTAGTACTGGCCTCATACTAGAATAGGGTGGCGTTATCAAAATTGTTTCAAAAAAAAAACACCTTAAAACTCGATTGCTATTAAGATAAACAAAACACTAATTACTAATTATTTTATACTTGATGCAATAATTTTCTTACTTGTTTTTGTTTGCATTAATTATTTGCTAAACGTTTTGCGTGCTCGTTATTATTATACTAGCCCCAACATTGTTTTGGTCGGTGGAAGACTTGTGACAGCT